TTTTTGAACCCCCTTATGATTCATCACCCCTAAACTCAATCCCAGCCTTCCCTTTGTGGTATGATACCTTGCAGTACAATTTCAGAGAGATCCATACACTTGAACACAAGTTATTGTCTGGAAACTAGAAAAATGCTTATTTTTTGCCCCTTTTTGGCCCCTAATTCCTAAAATTTGGAGGCAATTACCCCCAAAATCAATCCCAGCCTTCCCTTTGTGGTATGGTACCTTGCAGTACAATTTCAGAGAGATCCATACACTTGAACACAAGTTATTGTCTGGAAACTAGAAAAATGCTTATTTTTTGCCCCTTTTTGGCCCCTTATTCCTAATTATATATAAACGTTTTGGGCAATTACCCCAAACTCAATTCCAGCTTTCCCTTTGTGATATTGAACCTTGTAGTACAATTTCATAAAGATCCATACACTTACACACAAGTAATTGTCCTGAAACTAGAAAACTACTTGTTTTTTGCCCCTTTTTGGCCCCTAATTTCTAATATTTGGAGGCAATTACCCCCAAAATCAATCCCAGCATTCCCTTTGTGATATGGAACCTTGTGGTACAATGTCAGAGAGATCCATACACTAACACACAAGTTATGTCTGGAAGTTACAAAAATGCTTATTGTTGGCCCCTAATTCCTTAACTGTTGGTACCATAACCCCCAAAATCAATCCCCACCTTCCTTTTGTGGTTTTGAACCTGATGGTAAAATTTCATAGAGATCCATTCACTTAAACTAAAGTTAGAGTGCGAAAACCAATGTGTCTGCGGACAACAACGACGACGACAATGACGCCAACGTCATACCAATATACGACCGCAACATTTTTTTGCGGTCGTATAAAAATTATTCAAAACATAACCTTAAATAATAAAATGCTCCGCTGGGTGCAGCTTGATACGTCTGCAGAGGTCGAACCCTGAACAGTTGGGGCAAGTATGGACACAACATTCAAGCTTGACACAGCACTGAATTTGCATTGTGATTAAATATTTGACACAGCATAGGTTTCTGACACAGAATGAATGTGGTCTAAGAACTTAAAATTTTTTAATTTACCTATTCAAACCATATCATTATTATTTGCTTTTATGTATAAATCAGAAATAACCAATTTAAAATGGAAAATTTTAAACAAAAAATAGTGAAAAAAAATCCCCCCCCAAAAATTTTTTGAACCCCCTTATGATTCATCACCCCTAAACTCAATCCCAGCCTTCCCTTTGTGGTATGGTACCTTGCAGTACAATTTCAGAGAGATCCATACACTTGAAAACAAGTTATTGTCTGGAAACTAGAAAAATGCTTGTTTTTAGGCCCCTTTTTGGCCCCAAATTCCTAAACGTTTAGGGCAATTACCCCCAAACTCAAACCTAGCTTTCCCTTTGTGATATGGAACCTTGTAGTACAATTTCATAAAGATCCATACACTTACACGTAAGTATTGTCGTGAAACTAGAAAATGCTTGTTTTTTGCCCCTTTTTGGCCCCTAATTCCTAAAATTTGGAGGCAATTACCCCCAAAATCAATCCCAGCCTTCCCTTTGTGGTATGGTACCTTGCAGTACAATTTCAGAGAGATCCATACACTTGAACACAAGTTATTGTCTGGGACTAGAAGATGCTTATTTTTTGCCCCTTTTTGGCCCCTTATTCCTAATTATATATAAATGTTTTGGGCAATTACCCCAAACTCAATTCCAGCTTTCCCTTTGTGATATTGAACCTTGTAGTACAATTTCATAAAGATCCATACACTTACACACAAGTAATTGTCCTGAAACTTGAAATCTGCTTGTTTTTTGCCCCTTTTTGGCCCGTAATTTCTAAAATTTGGAGGCAATTACCCCCAAAATCAATCCCAGCATTCCCTTTGTGATATGGAACCTTGTGGTACAATGTCAGAGAGATCCATACACTAATACACATGTTATGTCTGGAAGTTAAAAAAATGCTTATTGTTGGCCCCTTATTCCTTAACTGTTGGTACCATAACCCCCAAAATCAATCCCCACCTTCCTTTTGTGGTTTTAAACCTTATGGTAAAATTTCATAGAGATCCATTCACTTAAACTAGAGTGCGAAAACCAATGTGTCTTCGGACATCGACGACGACGACAATGACGCCAACGTCATACCAATATACGACCGCAACATTTTTTTGCGGTTGTATAAAAATTATTCAAAACATAACCTTAAATAATAAAATGCTCCGCTGGGTGCAGCTTGATACGTCCGCAGAGGTCAAACTCTGAACAGTTGGGCCAAGTATGGACACAACATTCAAGCTTGACACAGCACTGAATTTGGATTGTGATTAAATATTTGACACAGCATAGGTTTCTGACACAGAATGAATGTGGTCTAAGAACTTAAAATTTTTTAATTTACCTATTCAAACCATATCATTATTATTTGCTTTTATGTATAAATCAGAAATAACCAATTTAAAATGGAAAATTTTAAAGAAAAAAAAAATCCCTCCCCAACATTTTATGAACCCCCTTATGATGAATCACCCCCAAACTCAATCCCAGCCTTCCCTTTGTGGTATGGTACCTTGCAGTACAATTTCAGAGAGATCCATACACTTGAACACAAGTTATTGTCTGGAAACTAGAAAAATGCTTGTTTTTAGGCCACTTTTTGGTCCTTAAATTCCTAAACGTTTAGGGGAATTACCCCCAAACTCGAACCCAGCTTTCCCTTTGTGATATGGAACCTTGTAGTACAATGTCATAAAGATCCATACACTTACACACATGTTATTGTCCTGAAACTAGAAAAATGCTTGTTTTTTGCCCCTTTTTGGCCCCTAATTTCTAAAATTTGGAGGCGATTACCCCCAAAATCAATCCCAGCATTCCCTTTGTGATATGGAACCTTGTGGTACAATGTCAGAGAGATCCATACTTTTACACATAAGTTATTGTCATGAAACTAGAAAAATGCTTGATTTTGCCCCTTTTTGGCCCCTAATTCCTAAAATTTGGAAACAATTACCCCCAAAATCAATCCCAGCCTTCCCTTTGTGGTATGGTACCTTGCAGTACAATTTCAGAGAGATCCATACACTTGAACACTGCTTGTTTTTTGCCCATTTTTGGCCCCTTATTCCTAAACGTTTTGGGAAATTACCCCTAAACTCAATTCCAGCTTTCCCTTTTTGATATTAAACTTTGTAGTACAATTTCAGAAAGATCCATACACTTACACACAAGTTATGTCTGGAAGTTACAAAAATGCTTATTTTTTGCCCCTTTTTGGCCCCTAATTCCTTAACTGTTGGTACCATAACCCCCAAAATCAATCCCAACCTTCCTTTTATGGTATTGAACCTTATGGTAAAATTTAATAGAGATCCATTCACTTTAACTAAAGTTAGAGTGCGAAAACCAATATGTCTTTGGACGACAACGACAACGACGGAGACGATGATGACGACAATGTCATACCAATATACGACCACAAACATTTTTTTGCGATCGTTTAAAAAGGGTGCAGACGTGTAGGGTGGGAACACACCCAGGGTGCGAACAGGTGTGATTGGAACATGAGAGGGAGCAAATGTGACTGGTAAAAAATAATTTTGGGTGAAAGGACCCGGATTAATTACGGGTTACCCCTGTCCATCCGTATGTCCAGAAATTGGTTTCCTTTCTCTAACTTTACTTGTCCACAACGAAATGTTCTGAAACTAATACACAATCCTTTTTACCACCTAGCACAGATCAAGTTAGAATTTGGGTGGTGTCACTTGCACGGTTCTGGAGAAATGTCCCTTTATAAGTGGAAAAATCAGCGATTTTGCGGTTTCTGTTCTACTTTACTTTGCCACAACCAAATTTTATTAAACATCTTATACACAATGCTTACTACCACCAAAGACATATCAAATTTGAATAAGGGTGGCATCATTTCCAAAATAAAAATCTCATGTTTTCCATTAATTATGTAGATTCAATCATTTAATCATTTAAATAATTTATCAGTAAACTTGGTCTTCTGGAATTGCTTTTGGGTTTGTTTTTTTTTTAAGTTAAACTAGGTATACTTACGAAAATAAAAATAAAAATACATGTTACTGATTCATAAGCAAAAAAGTAACATTCATATAGGCATATGAATGTATAAATTAAACTTTGTCAGAGGAATAGCTCTCATTTTAAAGGCAAATTTCAGCTTTTTATTGCTACAATTGGCTATGAAAAAAATTTAAATAAACTACCACACCAACCTTGCACCAAAAAGATTTTTTATCTGAAGTTTGATAGTTATGAACTTGTCAAAATATTAAAATTTCAAATTGATGCAAGCATGGTGCGGTGGTCAAAAAGTAGGAAAACCATCAAAATTTCTGTATTTTTGCTAATTTTCATGATTATGACGTCCTTTGCACCTACCATTGTGACATCATTAAACCTTTTTTTTGTTAGATAAAATTAGTATTTTTAATCATTGACTCATATTCTAATAATTTTTGGAGAAAAATCTGCTCTGTTTAAAATTTTATTATTTTGTAAATCTGGGGCCATTTTCATGATTTTAGGCCATTACAGTCCCTACTCCTTTAATGAAAATGAATTATCTACAAAGAAGCGTTACACAAATTAAGAGCATACTTTTGTTAAGAAGATATTACAAATCTTTTTTTTAAAAATCCCCATGTGTTTATCTTTTGAAACTAAAAAGTTAAGTATGTCTGTCCAAAGGATAGAAATGTCCAAGAAACCGAAACTTTAAGTCAATGTCTAAAATTTCGACCCCATTTATCTCTAAATTTAGCAATGTTTAGCACATAAAGGTATACTTTTTATAACATATTTGAATTGACTAGGTGAAATATAGCTTGTACGACAATTTTTGTAAAAACATCATTGTTGGATCAAAACTGTATCATATGCCCTTAGAGTCCACATGATAAACATATTTTTGTTTACTTTTAAAAGTAAAATACTATTGAACAGTTACTTAAATATAAAAATCTTACATTACAGCAATTTTCCCACCACTTTCTTTAGCCTCTTCTTTATGTCCAGGTAAATCTGAAAATAATTTTTTATGAACTTTCATGTATAAATGTAAACATATTGTTTCTAAATATGATCAGGGCTAAAGGAGGAAAGGAAAACAGAGGATTAAAGATTTCTAATATATATTGTTAAGTAAGTTATTGAAAGTGAAGAAAATATGCATATACATTGTATGTCAGGAGGGACAAAAGTGAAAGTTTTGACAAACAATACTGCATAGATTTCTTGTATATGAACTCATCACCATCAACCTACTTTGAGCAATATAACAGGTGGAGCAGGATTTGCTTACCTGTATGGAGCACCTGAAATTTTGGTGAAGTATTTGTTCTTATTCTTCAGTTTTATATGTAGTGTTTTGATGACAGTTGCTTGTCTTTTCACCATTTTTTGTTTTTTGCAATGTCATTGTCAGTTTCTGTAGATCAACTGATACCTATCTTCTGCCTATTTGTCCTTTCAATCTTAATCTGTTAACATTAACCAAAGATTAATCTTAATACATACCTTTAATAAAAACATCTTTTGCCAGAAGAAGTAAATTTTCAGACTTTGTAAACCCGTATTCACACTGATATGTAACATTCACATCATTTTCTGTCAAGTTTTTGATAATCAACTTGAATCCATTACTTTCTATGGAGGCACTGTACTTTGGTTTATCTACATCATTAATTGTAAGCAACTTCTGTTCAGATCCCCTATACCATCTTTTACTTTTTTGTGATTTTATTTTATAATCATCAGAAATATTACAAAACAATTCTAAATCTTCACCATAATCTGTTATTTGTTTCTCTACATTCCATGTAACTGAAATAATAAAAGACCAGCATTCCAATGTTCACAATGCTGCACATATTTTATCTGTCCAAAGGCAATACAAAAATAAATTCTTCTAACTCTTTAATACATAAGAAATGTAGACATGATATCGCTTACAATGTTTAGTTCAATATATTTCTACTTTCAAGAGGAATAAATTCTGTAAAACAGTTAGTTGACACTCTTCCAAGACCTTACTGATATGAGCCCTTGATATTAATTGATAAAAATTTGACAAGAAATGTAGGTGTGAGAGTGCTTACAATGCAATGTTCAATTGCTGAACCTATTTTATAGTCAGCTTGTAATATTATTGCCATAACAAGTAAGAATTGGCCATGGATATTAATTTAAAACTTAGTCTAACTTTTAATCTCATTTAATACTAAGTTACAATGAATTAATTGTCATTATAAAAAATAAACTAACCATCATCCCATTTTTTATAGTTATTGAAATTACATGTACATAAAAAGCGTGACAAGATGTGATGTGGAGCAATATCCATTTCTGAGAAATTGATAACTATCTCTCTTATCAATGGTAAAATTTTAATTTGTACATTAGTCTATTTCATTGATAAGCATCATCAGCTAAGAATGCTTATCAAAACAAAACTTCAGTAGCCTGATTGTAGCCATATTTTATATAGTTGGAAATTTTTACATTTTGCTAATTATGACTGAGCACAATTGATAAATGATTAAATCATAACATTATTCTTGCATTTGATTTCAACAAAGGAGATTTTCACATCCCTTAAAAGTGACAGGTCCAAAGATGGAGATTTCAAATATTTACAGGAAAAAGAGGGAGTCTCCCTACTAGAACTGGTACATTGTTAGGGGTGCAGTGTCACTGCATTAGTGGATAAGAGCTCCTTTCCTGATTTCTTTCTCCAAGATTGAATAAGTAAATTATAATGCAGAAAATCTCCAAGATTGAATAAGTAAATTATAATGCAGACAACACCACAAAAACCAGAAATAAACAAACCACTGCAAAAGAGAATAAAATGCTCCTCAGGGCGCAGCTTGATAAAACAAAAAGTTCAAACCCTGAACAGTTGGGGCAAGTATGGACACAGAATTCAAGCTGGATACAACTCTGAATTTGGATTGTGATTAAATATTTGACACAGCATAGGTTTCTGACACAGAATGAATGTGGTCTAAGAACTTAAAAATTTGAAATTGGACATTTACCTATTATGGTCTAAAATCCAAAATCTAAATACATGGTTAGATTCAGCATATCAAAGAACCCCAAGTATTCAATTTTTGATGAAATCGAATAAAAGTTTAATTCTGGATCCTTTGGACCTCAATGTGGACCAATTTAATAACAGGGACCAAAATCCAAAATCTAAATACACAGTTAGATTCAGCATATCAAAGAACCCCATTTATTCAATTTTTGTTGAAATCAAACAAAGTTTTATTTTGGACCCATGTTTGGACCAACTTGAAAACTGGGCCCAAAATCAAAAATCTAAATACATGTTTAGATTCAGCATATCAAAGAACCCTAAGACTATGAATTTAACCCCTTTGAAATTGGTCAAGAAATCAGCAATTTGTACAAAGTATTACATGTATTAGAAAAGTATTATGTATGTCCCCTTATTCCTAAATGGTTGGGCCATAATACCCAAAATCAATTCCAACCTTCCTTTTTTTGGTTTTGAACCTTGTGGTACAATTTCATAGAGATCCATAGACTTATACTGAAGTTATTGTTTAATTAAATGCTCCGCTGGGGCGCAGCTTGATACGACCGCAGAGGTCGAACCCTGAACAGTTGGGGCAAGTATGGACACAACATTCAAGCTTGATACAGCACTGAATTTGGATTGTGATTAAATATTTGACACAGCATAGGTTTCTGACACAGAATGAATGTGGTCTAAGAACTTAAAAAATTTTAATTTACCTATTCAAACCATATCATTATTATTTGCTTTTATATATAAATCAGAAATAACCAATTTAAAATGGAAAAATTTAAAGAAAAAAAAAGGAAAAAAAAGAGGAAAAAAATCCCTCCCCCAAATTTTATGAACCCCTTTATGATTCATCACCCCAAAACTCAATAACAGCCTTCCCATTGTGGTATGGTACCTTGCAGTACAATTTCAGCGAGATCCATACACTTGAAAACAAGTTATTGTCTGGAAACTAGAAAAATGCTTGTTTTTTTGCCCCTTTTTAGCCCCAAATTCCTAAACGTTAAGGGCAATTACCCCCAAACTCAAACCCAGCTTTCCCTTTGTGATATGGAACCTTGTAGTACAATTTCATAAAGATCCATACACTTACACACAAGTTATTGTCCTGAAACTAGAAAAATGCTTGTTTTTTGCCCCTTTTTGGCCCCTAATTCCTAAAATTTTGAGGCAATTGCCCCCAAAATCAATCCCAGCCTTCCCTTAGTGGTATGGTACCTTGCAGTACTATTTCAGAGAGATCCATACACTTGAACACAAGTTATTGTCTTGAAACTAGAAAAATGCTTATTTTTGGCCCATTTTTGGCCCCTTTTTCCTAAACGTTTTGGGCAATTACCCCCAAACTCGATTCCAGCTTTCCCTTTGTGATATGGAACCTTGTAGTACAATTTCAGAAAGATCCATACACTTACACACAACTTATTGTCATGAAACTAGAAAAATGCTTGCTTTTTGCCCCTTTTTTGGCCCCTAATTCCTAAAATTTTGAGGCAATTACCCCCAAAATCAATCCCAGCATTTCCTTTGTGATATGGAACCTTGTGGTACAATGTCAGAGAGATCCATACATTAACACACAAGTTATGTCTGGAAGTTACAATAAAATGCTCCGCAGGGCGCAGCTTGATACGACCGCAGAGGTCGAACCCTGAACAGTTGGGGCAAGTATGGACACAACATTCAAGCTTGATACAGCTCTGAATTTGGATTGTGATTAAATATTTGACACAGCATAGGTTTCTGACACAGAATGAATGTGGTCTAAGAACTTAAAAATTTTAAATTGGACATTCACCTATTATGGTCCAATATCCAAAATCTAAATACATGGTTAGATTCAGCATATCAAAGAACCCCAAGAATTCAATTTTTGATGAAATAAAACAAAGTTTAATTTTGGACCCTTTTGACCTCAATGTGGACAAAGTTGATAACGGGGCCCAAAAATCAAAAATCTAAATACATGGTTAGATTCAGCATATCAAAGAACCCCATATATTCAATTTTTGTTGAAATCAAACAAAGTTTAATTTTGGACCCCGATTTGGACCAACTTGAAAACTGGGCCCATAATCAAAAATCTAAATACATGTTTAGATTCAGCATATCAAAGAACCCTAAAAATTCAATTTTTGTTAAAATCAAACTCAGTTTAATTTTTGACCCTTTGGACCTTAATGTAGACCAATTTGAAAACGGAACCAAAAATTAAGAATCTAAATACACGGTTAGATTCGGCATATCAAAGAACCCCAATAATTTTATTTTTGATGAAATCAAACAATGTTAAATTTTGGACCCTTTGGACCTCAATGTGGACAAATTTAAAAACGGGGCCCAAAATCCAAAAACTTAATACACGGTTAGATTCAGCATATTAAAGAACCCCAAGAATTCAAGAATAAAACCCCATTGAAATTGATCAAGAAATAAGCAATTTATACGAAGTATCTTCTTTTGCACAATACTGTGCAATTGAATATTTCTTGCTATTGCGCAATACTGTACAATTGACAATTTCTTGCTCTTGCGCAATATTGTGCTATTGGATATTTCATGCTATTGCGCAATACTGTGCAATTGAAGATTTCTTGCTATTGCGCAATACTGTGCAATTGAAGATTTCTTGCTATTGTGCAATACTGTGCAATTGAAAATTTCTTGCTATTGCACAATACTAATTATATAATAATTTACACATCCTGTTTGGTGTGTATCTCCTACCATATCATTATTATTTGCTTTTAAATATAAATCAGAAATAACCAACTTATAATGGAAAATTTTAAAAGAAAAAAAAAAGGAAAAAAAGAAAAAAAAAAGAAAAAAAAATCCCCACCCAAATATTTTGAACCCCTTATGATTCATCACCCCCAAACTCAATCCCTGTGATATGGAACCTTGTGGTACAATGTCAGAGAGATCCATACACTTACACACAAGTTATTGTCTGGAAGTTACAAAAATGCTTATTTTTGGCCCCTTTTTGGCCCCTAATTCCTTAACTGTTGTTACCATAACCCCCAAAATCAATCCCAACCTTCCTTTTGTGGTATTGAACCTTATGGTAAAATTTCATGGAGATCAATCTACTTAAACTAAAGTTAGAGTGTGAAAACCAATGTGTCTTCGGACGACGCCGGACGACGACGACGACGACGACGACGCCAACGTCATACCAATATACGACCAAAATATTTTTAATTTTTGCGGTCGTATAAAAATGCTTATTTGTGGCCCCTTTTTGGCCCCTAATTCCTTAACTGTTTGTACCATAACCCCCAAAATCAATCCCAACCTTCCTTTTGTGGTATTGAACGTTATGGTAAAATTTCATAGAGATCCATTCACTTAAACTATAGTTAGAGTGCGAAAACCAATGTGTCTTCGGACGAAGACGATGACGACGACAACGTCATACCAATATACGATCGCAAAATTTTTTTGCGGCCGTATAAAAACCAGAAACTCCTTGTTTTTTAGCCCCTAATTCCTAAATGGTTTGAGTCATTACCAACAAAATCAATCCAAACCTTCCTTTCGAAATATGGAACCTTGTAGTACAATTTCATAGAGATCTATACACTTATACACAAGTTATTGTCCTGAAACAAGAAAAATGCTTGTTTTTTGGACCTTTTTGGCCCCTTATTCCTACACAGTTAAGACAATAACCTAAAAAATCAATCCCAACCTTCCTTTTTTTGGTATGGAATCTTGTGGTTCAATTTCATAGAAATCCATACACTTATAATCAAGTTATCATCTGGAAACCAAATGTCTTTGGACGACGACAATGACAACGTCATACCATTGGAAGGCCTCAAAAATTTTGCGGCCGGCCGTATAAAAAGCATTCATTCCTGACCTTGTTCCTTATAATTGACCTTATAAATAGCCAATGGAAATGTGGTTATGTGATGTCCCATTGTAGGATATAGGTCACCCAAATCAATACATTAGTGTTGTTGATATCACACACTGTTCAGTGTGATTGGAGAAATATATACATTTTGTATCTTTGTGTACAAAAAAAGATGAAAGCTACAACCATAAAAGGAGATATATATATCTAAAAATGTTTGGACAAAATAATTTTAAATAAAAGAACAGAGTTCCAATGTCCCCCACATTGCACAAATTTTATCTATCCAAGGTACAAGGGCAATTACTAAAAAAACCACTTTTTTTTGTTCTTAAAAACAATTTATAAATTACTTAGAGAAATGAAGGCTTTTAAGAGCAAATGCAATGCAATTTTTATAATGATTAATTTTTCCAATGGCATAACTCGTTAAAAATATTTTCGAAAGTGTCAAAGACATATATATTGCTGATATAAACCCTCTGATATATGTTTCATAAAATTCTGGCAAGAACTGAACACATAAGAGCACTAACTGAATGTTATTTTCCATATAATCAATATTTCCAAGGGACATAACACTTTTAAAAATAATTGATCTGCACTGATTTTCAAATTTGTCAAAAACATTGATGATATAAATCTATAATACCGGTATAAATTTCATAAAAATCTGGCAAGAATTGTACACATGAGAGCGCTCATAAGGCAATTTTCCATATAAGTCAATATTTCAAAGGGGTATAACTCTTATGAAAATGAGTGATTGGCACTGATTTTCGAACTCATCAAAAACATTGATGATATAAATCTATAATATAAATTTCATAAAAATCTGGCAAGAATTGTACACGAGAGCGCTCATAAGGCAATTTTCCATATAATTAATATTTCCAAGGGGCATAACTCTTTAAATAAAATGCTTCACTGAGCGCAGGGGACAAAAATGTAGGAAAGAAGCTGTTAAAAGTATCACTGAATTTAATGATATAGACACAAAATTAAGTAAATGTGCTAAAAGACTACAGATTACAATAAAATGCTTCGCTGGGGCGCAGCTTGATACGACCACAGAGGTCAAACCCTGAACAGTTGGGGCAAGTATGGACACAACATTCAAGCTTGATACAGCTCTGAATTTGGATTGTTATTAAATATTTGACACAGCATAGGTTTCTGACACAGAAAGAATGTAGTCTAAGAACTTGAATTTTTTTAATTTACCTATTATGGTCCAATGTCCAAAATCAAAATACATGGTTAGATTCAGCATATCAAAGAACCCCATATATTCAATTTTTGTTAAAATCAAACAAAGTTTAATTTTGGACCCCAACTTGGACAAACTTGAAAACTGGGCCCATAATCAAAAATCTAAACACATGTTTAGATTCAGCATATCAAAGAACCCCAAGAATTCAATTTTTGCTAAAATCAAACTAAGTTTAATTTTGGACCCTTTGGACCTTAATGTAGACCAATTAAAAAAACAGGACTTAAAATTAAAAATCTAAATACACGGTTAGATTTGGAATATCAAAGAACCCCATTCAATTTTTGATGAAATCAAACAAAGTTTAATTTTGGACCCTTTTGACCTCAATATGAACCAATTTGATAGCGGGGCCCACAAATAAAAAATCTAAATTCATGGTTAGATTCAGCATATCAAAGAACCCCATATATTCAATTTTTGTTGAAATCAAAAAAAGTTTAATTTTGGACCCCAACTTGGACCAACTTGAAAACTGGGCCAATAATCAAAAATCTAAACACATGTTTAGCTTCAGCATATCAAGGAACCCCAAGAATTCATTTTTTGTTAAAATCAAACTAAGTTTAATTTTGGACCCTTTGGACCTCAATGAAGACCAATTTAAAAAACGGGACCCAAATGAAAAATCTAAAAACACGGTTAGATTTGGCATATCAAAGAACCCCAATAATTCAATTTTTGATGAAATCAAACAAAGTTTAATTTTGGACCCTTTTGACCTCAATATGAACCAATTTGATAAGCGGGGCCTACAAATAAAAAATCTTAATACATGGTTAGATTCAGCATATCAAAGAACCTCATATATTCAATTTTTGTTGAAATCAAACAAAGTTTAATTTTGGACCCCAATTTGGACCAACTTGAAAACTGGGCCCATAATCAAAAATCTAAATACATGTTTAGATTCAGCATATCAAAGAACCCCATATATTCAATTTTATTTGAAATCAAACAAAGTTTAAATACTGGACCCTATCTTGGACCAACTTGAAAACTGGGCCCATAATCAAAAATCTGTTTAGATTCAGCATATCAAAGAACCCCAAGAATTCAATTTTTGTTAAAATCAAACTAATTTAATTTTGGACCCTTTGGACCTTAATGTAGACCAATTTAAAAAACAGGACCCAAAATTAAAAATCTAAATACATGGTTAGATTTGGAATATCAAAGAACCCCAATAATTCAATTTTAGATGAAATCAAACAAAGTTTAATTTTGGACCCTTTTGACCTCAATATGAACCAATTTGATAACGGGGTCCACAAATAAAAAATCTAAATACATGGTTAGATTCAGCATATCAAAGAACCCCATATATTCAATTTTTGTTGAAATCAAACAAAGTTTAATTTTGGACCCCAATTTGGACCAACTTGAAAACTGGGCCCATAATCAAAAATCTAAATACATGTTTAGATTCAGCATATCAAAGAACCTCATATATTCAATTTTTGCTAAAATCAAACAAAGTTTAATTTTGGACCCTTTGGACCTTAATGTAGACCAATTTGAAAACTGGACCAAAAATTAAAAATCTAAATACACTGTTAGATTCGGCATAACAAATAAATAAATAAATGTGATCAAAGATTTTACAAATCTAATGCACCATACTGTGCAATTAAAGATTACTTCTTGAAATTTTTCAATATTTGAAATTTGAAAAAAAAATAATATTTGAAGAATAATTCTTTTTAATTTCTGAAATCTGAAATGAGAAAAAATTGACCCCCCACAATTTCTTTTTATCCCCCCCTTTTTTCCCAAAAAAAATTCTTTCCCTCAAGATATGGTCATAATCTCAATTCAAATTTCCAATGGAGTTGGCAACCATAATTACCCATTTAAATTTACCATAGTGCTAACTTAATCTATTTTATAATAGAATTAAAAATATAGTGTCAAATCTTTCATATGGATTTTTTTGTAAAAAAAAAGGGTGCAACATTTGCAGATATTTTTACTGGTCTTCCTTTATAAATATGCATTTCTTTAAACATAATTTAAAAGCAGTGTAAGGGAAGTAACCAAAACGTTGTATTTGGATTATCTCCCTTACACTGTTTTAAATTATCTTTATTGTTCATTAACCATTACTTTATACATAATTTAAAAGCAGTGTAAGGGAGATGATGTATTTGATTTATCTCCCTTACACTGCTTTAAATTATGTTTTGTACTAAAGTATTTGTCCATTAACCAGGACAACCTTGTTTTTCACCCTTTTTTGCCCCTAATTCCTAAACGGTTTGAGCCATAACCCCCCAAAGCAAATCCTAACCATCCCTTTGTGGTATGGAAACTTGTAGTATAATTTCAGAGAGATCCATACACCGTTCCAGTTATTGTCTGGAAACTAGAAAATGCTTATTTTTTGGCCCCTTTTTGGCCCCTAATTCCTTAACTGTTGGTACCATAACCCCCAAAATCAATCCCAACCTTCCTTTTGTGGTATTTAACCTTATGGTAAAATTTCAAAAAGATCCATTCACTTAAACTAAAGTTAGAGTGCGAAAACCAATGTGTCTTCGGACGACGACGCCGGACGACGACGCCAGACAACTACGACGAAGACGCCAACGTCATACCAATATACGACCACAAAATTTTTTTGCAGTCGTATAAAAATCAAACATTTGGTACACATATACTTGTGAAACATACCTTTAGCTTCTGACATAAAGAGCATGAAAACCATCCAAACAAATACCCACATTATGTATACTACCAATTTTGGTATTTCAAATTCTGAAAAAGATAAAAAGATAATCTAAAATTACAAAGTTTACATTCTAGTTTTAATAACTCAATTTTAAAAATTGTCATAGACAATACAATGCATGAATTCCTAGATCAGAATAACAAAGGCTATTACATAAATAAAAGTTCATAATGATCTTGTTTTTCATTGATCATGAACATTTATACATGCACAACTATATATATGCAAGCCAATATGATTTTATGGTACAAAATGTATTCTTTTGGACGTTTAATTTTGGTGTGTCATTGGGTTGCTGTCTTATTGGTGTATACCCCAAATCTCTTTTTATTCATAGCTGTACTTCTGTTTTTTAACTCATTGAATACTTTTAAAAAGGAGAAGGATTGATTGCTAAAAAAATAAAATGCTTCCCTGAGCACAGCTGGATACGACAGCAGAGGTCCAATCCTGAACAGTTGGGGCAAAAATGGACACAATATTCGCGCTTGATACAGGTCTGAATTTGGATTGTAATTAAAAATATGACACATAATAGGTTTCTGACACAGAATAACTGTAGTCAAAGAGCTTAATTAGAATTGGTTATATGATTTGAATTTATATTCAATTTTTTGCAATATACTATGCTGTTGCGAATTGACCCTCCCCCCCCCAAAAAAAATAAATTTACCCCCCCTTTTTTTTGCTTTTGTGCAATACACTATGCTGTTGCATATTGACCCCGCCCCCCAAAAAAATTTTTTTTTTACCCCCTCCCTTTTTTTGGCAAAAAAAAATTATTTGAAGAATTTCTGAAAGCTGAAATGAGAAAAGATTGCCCCCCCAACCTTTTTTCACCCCCCCCCCCCCCCACTCCCCTTTTTCCCAAAAAAAAATCTTCACCTCAAGATATGGTCATAATCTCAATTCAAATTTCCAATGGAGTTTGCAACCATAATTACCAATTTAAATACATCATAAAAGTCTTAAAATAGAAAATGACATACATAATCATGGCTAAATTAATATTCCTTTAATAGTAACTTCTAAAAATTAATTGACAGCTAATCACCTCAAGACAATACAATATTTCTTTATACATAATTTAAAAGAAGTGTAAGGGAGGTAAATCAAAACATACACAACATTGTACTTTAAATGTGTTTGGATTACCTCCCTTACACTGCTTTTAAATTGTCCATTAACCAGGAAACCCTTGTTTTCCCCATTTTTTGCCCCTAATTCCTAAACGGTTTGAGCCATAACCCCCAAAAGTCAATCCTCACCATCTTTTTGTGGTATGGAAACTTGTGGTATAATTTTAGAGAGATCCATACACCATTCCACAAGTTATTGTCTGGAAACTAGAAAAATGCTTATTTGGGCCCCTTTTTGGCCCCTAATTCCTAAACTGTTAGGACTATAACCCCAAAATCAATCCCAACCTTCCTTTTGTGGTTATAAACATTGTGTTTAAATTTCATAGATTTCTATTCACATTTACTGAATTTATTGTCCGGAAATCAAATGTCTTCGGACGACAACGACGATGACGTGATACCAATATACGACCGCAAAATTTTTTGTGGTCGTATGAAAATTAATCCTACCAAAAGGCATTTCCAATATAATACATATATCATATGACATTGGATTTTTTATCCCAATAAAAAAAAAAAACATCAAATCCTGGATCCAACCCTGACATGTCTCAGTAATGTATAGTAAGGGGAAAGGATAATACCATACTATCCATCAGGAACTTACTAAATACCACAATCTTATACTGTTAAGGTAGATAGGGTTCTAAATTAAAGTCCATAAATTTTTTTAATGATTTAAATTGTCAAAATGTAGTTTATAACATGCTTTTTTCAAAATTATAATAAAAAATATGGGTAACCAGGCTTTTTTTCACGCTAGAGGTTGTGCAAAATTGTCAGATTTTGTATAGATTATGCATGGAAAACCCATTTTTGTATGATGAAAAGAAAACTACAACATAGAATTTTAAAATAAAATATGAGAAGATAGCTTTAATAATATGCTTTCAGATAATAAAAAGAAATAAATGTGGAAAGAGTCCATATGTGGACACAGATGATGCCCCCGCTTGCATATCATATAGTTATAAAGGGACATAACTGAAGAATGGTAAAAGTGACGCTACCCAAATTTGAACTTGATCTGAGTTTTGTGGTAATAAGCATTGTGTGTAAGTCTCATAACATTTGGTTGAGGCTAACTTAAGTAGAGAACAGAAACTAAAAATTCAGCAATGTTTCTATTTGTAAACACGCATAACTCTAGAACAGTTGTGTATAAGTTTCATAACATTTGGTTGAGACAAACTAAAGTTAGAGAACGGAAACGAAAAATTCAGCAATTTTTATGTTTATATAAAGTGGCATAACTCAATAATGGTTAAAGTGACACTACCCAAATTCAGCTTGATCTGTGTTTTATCAGTGGATGTCAAAATTAAACATTGCATTGTATAAAGCATTGATTGTAGTTGATTCAACTATAACCATGGACAAAGGAAGATAACTCCAATTTTAAAAATTACTTGATATTTAGAAGAAAATAAAAATTTTGCAATTTTTCCATTTATAAAGGGCATAAACTCTAGGATGGTTAAAATGACGCCACCAAAATTCAAACTTGATCTGTGTTTTGTGGTAATAAGCATTGTGTATAAGTTTCATAACATTTGGTTAAGGCGAACTTAAGTTAGAGAACGGAAACTAAAAATTTTGCAATTTTTCCATTTATAAAGGGGCATAACTCTAGAACGGTTAAAATGACACCACCAAAATTCAAACTTCATCTGTGTTTTGTGGTAATAAGCATTGTGTATAAGTTTCATAACATTTGGTTGAGGCAAACTCAAGTTAGAGAACGGAAACCAATTTTTGGACGTACGTACAGAGGGACAAGGGTAAAACTTAATGCTCCCACGGAGGTGGCATAAATATAGGTCACTGGACTCGTTTTCTTGCTACATAATAATAAACTGCTTCGCTGAGTGCAGCTGGATACGCCCGTAGAGATCCAACCCTGAACAGTTGGGGCAAAAATGGACACAATATTCAAGCTTGATACAGGTCTGAATTTGGATTGTAATTAAATATTTGACATATTATAGGTTTCTGAATAAATGTAGTCAAAGAACTTGAAATTGGTTATATGAATTGAATTTATATTCAATTAAAGATTTCTTGCTGTTGTGCAATACACTGTGCTGTTGCGCAATACTTAGTAAATCTGTTGTCAGACTATAAACAAATAAAGTTCAATTTCTTCTCAATGTCATATTTGAAATTTATGAAAATCAATAGGGAGATTACATCAATAGCTATAAATAATTCACAAAGGTTTCATGAGAACTGCTGAAAGCATTTTTGAGTTATTGTCCAAAAACTGGAAAATCCCCCCTTTTTTAATGAATAAAACCCCATAACTCAGAAATGTAAAATCTAAATTTATAAAATTCTAAAGGGAGCTTACATGATGACAACAGATATAAACAATTCACCAAAGTTTCATGAGAACTGCTGAAAGCATTTTTTAGTTATTGTCCGAAAACTGGAAAATCACCCTTTTTTATGAATAAAACCCTGTAACTCGGAAACGTAAAATCTAAAATTTTTAAAAATCGAAAGGCAGCTCATGTCAATAGATATCAACAATTCACCAAAATTTCTTGCAAGTTGGTGAAAACATTCTTGAGTTATTGTCGGAAAACTGGAAAATCCCCCCTTTTTTAATGAATAAAACCCCAGAACTCAGAAACGGTAAATCTGAAATTTATTTCATGAAAGGAAGCTCATGTCAATAGATATATGATAAAGCACATACTTTTCAATATTAACATGAAAAGTCTAACACATTTTCACATTTTATTAAGCTATACCATAATAGGATAATGTGGTTGTAATTTGGTTTAATTGACGCCCAAGGTGAAAATATCAAAATTAGACACACCAAAATAAAACTTTCAGATTTATCAATGCAGATTCTTGATTATCAAATGTAAAATATTAGGAGTATAAAGATCTTAATCAAACAATAAAATTAGCCAACATATATATACATGTATAATTTAATTGTTTTTAATGAAAAGAAAAACACTTGCATTAATTATGAACAAATATTGCTATCAATAATCCTTCTTTCTTTTCAGATCAATAGAATTTCACTGTACACTTAAATTAATAGAATGTTAACTTAAAATATAATATATGCTGCATGCTCATGCAGTTCTAATATACACTCAATGGTGCAGGGTATATTATATTTGAAGTCTAAATTTTATCAATTCAAGTGTGAGTAAAAAGACAAGAATCAGTGTTTACGATATATTTAAACTTATTATAATCTTTCTTCTAATACATGTACATCTAAGTAATGTTTTGGTTTACTAATACAACTGTGGCCTGGCTGTGGGATAAAAAACTACTTTACTGAAGAAAAAAATTTGACAAACAGTCATAAATAGTGTATATAGTCGTTGTGATAAAAGAGAACATGGAGAATAAAGTCTTTAAAATGTTTCAAACAAAAATTCGTAAGGGTTCCGCGGAACCCGGTCTCTCACCTACTTTTGCTGTTAGTCGCAGGCTCAACAAAAATGGGGAAATAATTATTAAAAATTTTCCTCTAGATACTATCTTTTGAATGTAAGAAGCTTCTGTTTAAGTTTGGTAAGAATCCAGGATGGTTTATGAATCTAATAAATGTTTTAAAAACTTTAACTGCATACTGTATGTAATGTTAACGGGAAGAATAAAATGCTCCGCTGGGCGCAGCTTGATACGACCGCAGCAGTCGAACCCTGAACAGTTGGGGCAAGTATGGACACAACATTCAAGCTTGATACAGCACTGAATTTGGATTGTGATTAAATATTTGCCACAGCATAGGTTTCTGACACAGAATGAATGTGGTCTAAGAACTTAAATTTTTTTAATTGACCTATTCAAACCATATCATTATTATTTGCTTTTACATATAAATCAGAAATAACCAATTTAAAATGGAA